CAACAGTTCAGACCACGTGTCATTCTCTTAAGAATAATAAGACTTTTCGTTTTAGATGTATCACCATTTATGTGTATTTCCCTATTCAACTATCAAACATAGAAACGATACTCTAGGAAATGAAAAGCAAATGTAAAGAGGTAAATTGTTACCTACCTTTGCTGTGTTTCACTTTATACATGAAATGCCAGACAAGCCCACACAGAATTGCCAGGATTAGAAAACATCCAACGAACAATACTGTGTTGCGGTAAAGTATCGAGTCAGGGTCAAACAAACCTGACGACCTCTCGACTGATAAACTTTGCTTGGGCTTCTGCAAAGTGAAAAACGTTCGACATTTCAAACAAAGTTAGATTAAGAAATATATTTTGATGAACTATATTCATCAATTCTTTAAGAAACACTCTATGTCATTTTTTATCCATGGAGGAGAAAATAACATCCATGCTCATCAATTTATCAATAATATCATTAATTTTATTCCTGCAATTTATTATCTTACAAACAAACAAAAAAGCAACCTCTTGGCTGAACTAAGTTAGGGCATGGCTAAATCAACCTCTGGCATGGGCTGTGTGCACGTCAGTGTTTCTTTGAATAGAAATTATTACACCCAACATGTTTAATAGTATTTTGATGAATAGAAGTCAAATTTTTAATCTAAACATGTTTCGGCTGCAGATTAAAAATGTGGTCTTTTATTCAATAAAATTCTGATCAAATTGTTGCTCAGGTTTCGATCGCTTTGAAATTTTCAATAGTAAAAAAAACAAAAAATAGTATGCCAACCTGCAATTGTCCTGTACTTCTTTCAATGAGCGAAATAACCTCCTTTTGGTGTAGTATGAGGTAGTCCCTACACTGGTGTTCTATCGAGGCAGCTGCTCCAATGGAGAGTGCAATGCCATAACCGAATGGTCGTTCGAGCAGTTTAGTGACTAGAATATTATCATCAGTGAAGCGCTTGTTATCCATTGCTACTACGTAGGTGTCGATAAGAGCGCCTTCGACTTCACGTTTAACAATAGCATCATGGATGTCTTTCACTGAATAATATTGGTTAGCTGAAAGTGCATAATTGATGGTTAATAATTAACAAATAAAACAGCTTTTTCCGTGCTCTGTTCAGTAATAAAGCACGCAGGAAGTGACGTAATCACGAACAAAGTGTAAGGAGAAGTACGAGTCGTAGGCGAGTGCATCTCACACTTCTTGAGTGCTTGCGACGCTTTTTAAGTGCTTTATTACTGAACGGAGCACGGAAATAGCAGTTTTATTCGTTTTGTTATATAGTTACTAATTTTATTTTGGTATTGAATTTATTTGTGCAAAAAGAAAGACGGTCACAGGATCTAGCAGCACTTCGCGCGCGCTGATGGCGTCAGCACTGTAATCCGTTCACTAATAAAGCACAGTTTTCGAACAATCAGTGCACGCATGCTATCATAACTATATAATAAAGGTATCTGGACGAACGGAAGGACGAACTGACGGATCAATGAGATGGGATGAGATAAAAGAAATGATGAATGAATGGTATGCAATATAGATAGATGTACAGACTGATGTATTACGTTTGAAAGAATCGATGGATGAATTAATGGATCTATATATCTATGGATGTACATATGCACGATGAATGTATATAAGGTTAGCTATGAGAAATACCTTACATAACAAAAAAAATGTTAAAACATATTTCTGACTTGCCTTGATTCACCTTGCCATTCATGAGTATGCCCAGTCGATACTCAGAGGAATTTTGAATGGCTGCAATCTGTATCGAATACAAAAAATGATAACTATTAAGCGTTTTCACTCACGGGACAAGGCAGCCATATTGATGAAGAACAAATCAATAGAAACCTTTTGCACAGTACGTTTCTGTATTAAAAAAATAGAGTTAAATTCCCCAAGGCTAGAAACTGAGTTGTTTTGCACACTAATATGGTCGCTTTGACGTCACGTGAAAACGCTCTATTTAGCATTTGGGCATTAACCGGCAATTTTTAATGAAATTGTCGTAAAGTATGGACATGCATATAACAGCCTAAACTCTTCATAAAGCTCTTCGTTTGCAAGCCTAGCTCATCAACAATTCTCATAAAGCAAAAATATTTTCCATGTTGTGCGCGCGCGGACAATTTTTTTCCCTGCTAGCAGAGTCTCTCCTCTGTTTCTCTCCCTTCTTTCAGGCGGGTAGGAAGGAGACTCTGCCGATGTAGAGCGTTTTCTTTGATACACCGCCGTCCACGATTGTGGACGAACAAAACCAGTTTTAAAACCGGTTTTTAACCGATTACATGTAGTGCGCRTGAGCAAATGTAAGAAACTGTGGTGCCAAACATTGTTTGACGAGAGCGGCTGTCCAAATCATGACAGCGTTGCTAAGTTACATCACGCATGCGCGACAGAAATAACGTCATACATCGGCAGAGTCTATTTTTCTCACTCCATCAGAACAAAAGGAAAATAGGCTCTGCTAGCAGGGAAACAATTTTTAAACTTAGGGTCTAAACAACTCCCCACTCGTCTTCTTTATAGGTCTTGCTCGAAAATTTAGTTAAACCATCAATATATAAAGTAATATTCATCAAATGCGAAATTTAATTTTAGACTTTTAAGAAGCTGATATTAAGTGGGATCGATTCAAAACTGACCGGAAGTCCATAAATCTTTTTCGTTGTTTCCACGGTGACGGTTGTCAAGGAAGTCGTAACTGAACTGGTGATGATAGATACTAGTATCATACCATAGAGTGTCCACAACATGGCAAACACCCGAGACATGTATTTCTTCGGAGACCTGTCTCCATAGCTACGGGGGGAAAACCAAGAAAAATGCATGACCGTCGCCAAAAGACGATACAAATTAAAATTAAAGAAAGCTTTATAAGACACTAAAATTTCATGCACAAAGCATGATGGGAAACCAAGTACTCACGATGTTTCGGCCCCTCTAAAAAAAATCATCTTTCAATTTTTCGCAACATTTTCTATGGAAAGGTTTAGTATTTTAACTGACAAAAATTAACAGAATAATTATTTTCTGATAATTCTATTGATGTCCCTGTTCCATTTTTGCAGTACTCGGCTTCCCAGAGTGCTTTGTAAGCTTTGATGCCTACTGATCATAAGGAATAGCGGATAGATAGGCAAGTGAGTTATAGCCCTATCACTATTATCTTGCATGTCCATATAGTGTGTGACTTCAATGACAAAAAGACAATGTCGATCGAAGTATAATGTTTGGTTTCAGTCAGCTGATAAAAGTCTTTGAATCTCATTATCTGCTCCAAATGGTGGTCAAACACTGACCACCATGTGCTGTCAACCAAAAAAGAATTCTATTGAAAACTTGTGATTCAGCAGATGAACATTCAGCACGGGAGGGAAAAAGGAGTATAATGAAACACCGCAATTCGAAACGTTTATTCTGCTGTAATGGGTTCTTACCCGACGGTAGTCATAGAGACGAAAGACCACCACATTCCTTCGGCAGCTCCTTTGATGAAGGAGCGAGGAAATGAGGTGTCTTCTAAGTCATCGGCATCCTGACAACAACAAAAAAAGAGAAAAACACACATAATATAGACTGTCTCATTAGCTTTAAACCATTCAAAGCAACTTGAAACCAAGGCAACTGTTGCTAAGGATTTGGTCGATTTCTTCAAATGATACGATGTTTTAGTTAGAGTGCATACCATTCATCCGCGAAAAAAATTATAAAAAATTACACAAATTTGCACAACTTAGTGCTCCCCTCCCCCACGGATTTTTTTGGGGTGGGCAAATATTGGTTCTCAGTCATAGTTTTACGACGCATGCGTCTGCAATCAAACAAAACAGCGGGCGGTCAGCGTTGAATATAATATTTCAATGTCCCCTCCCCCAAAGATTTTCAACTTCCGCCGCCCCTGATGTCATACGAAGCCCTCACGACAGAGTAACAAAAAGAAAAAGATTCTTACAAAGAACCACACGATTACTCCAGCCAAATATGCGAAAAGAAGCGACAATAGTATGAAGGGGAACATGTTGAGAACTGATTTGAGTATGTTCCATGCAGGGGAAACAGGGTCGCGTCGCTGTGAGAGGAAAGCCACTCCTGGAGACTCTACTATAGGCACAAARGCGTGGCCACCATATACCTAGAAAAAAATGTAAATATGCATCAATCAGCTGAATGGATCTCATTACCAGCCTACAATGACATGCAAACGCTGCCCGTCATTTGCCATCAACTGGTCTATTACATATCTATGCATCAATCAAGTAAATGAATCTCATGACTCTCATTACCAGCCTTCAATGACATGCAAACACTGCCCGTCATTTACTATCAACTGGTATATTATATATCTATGTATCAATCACGTAAATGAATCTCATGACTCTCATTACCATCTTACAATGACATGCAAACACTGCCCGTCATGTGCTATCAACTGGTGTATTGTATATCTATGTGTCAATCAAGTGAGTGAATCTCGTGCATCTCATGCATTACCATCACATCCCAACAATCCCTTGAAACTACATAGGGATACCAAAACCTGTAATAATCAATATTAATGCTTTGAAGCTAGGAGAACTTACTCTAGTCATGTACTTGTTTCCGTTGATTGGGAAGCTGATTTGAACTTCATGGTGAATATTTGCTATTACATCCAACATACTCCTCTTGTCTGCCTGTGAACCACTTCCATCATGAGTGAAATCAACAACTGTCTTCCCGTGACCATTCTTACAGTCTGCACATGCCCACGTGATCATGTTACGTATGATATGAGAGAAAATTCCCTGGACTTGACCACTACTTGTTTTGTTTAGGTATGGTGTAAGATACCAGTAATTGGTGTTGAACGTTTTTTCGCATCGACAAGTTTCTGAAATAGAATTATTGATGAAAAAAAACAATAACTCCCAAAACGCTCACAATAAACATTGTTAAGTTAAAAAGACTATTTGTAGCTTATTTTCGTAGCCTAGTTATGGTATTCTGATAATCATTTCGAGGAGAAGCGACACTTTGTGTAAAAAAAAAGGGGTAATTTCGTGATCACGCCATGCCATGTCCGACCAGCTTGATTGGTCGAGCATCGATATCTCGCTCGTAGCTAGTTGTGTGACACATACCTTACTTCTTACAACACTTCCCATGATGGGAAATAGGTAATCAAGGTTGACATAGTAGTAGTAGTGCCACTCCACCAGTCTCATATCTGGGGCCTCGAGTTCGATTCCTAGCCTTGGCATCATATGTGAGTAGACTTTGTTAGGTCTCTCTCTTCAAAACCTAACAACAAGCTAAGTTCCAATACTATCTGTGAGTCATGCTCTGACTTTGGTCAGCGCAGAGGTTGTTTCAACATAAAGGTTAAATCAGAATCAGAATCACGTCATACCTCCATATATGCGGGCGAATGGGCCCAGACCACCATTAGTCCTGGCCGCAACCATGATCTCGTACACTGTGAATGACGTCAAGTTCGTTAAGGTACATTCATGATCAGATGGAAGAAAATCTATTTCAATTACACGAGCTTCTTCCACTTCTTCTTCCGACGTTGATTTGTTTTTGTATCGTAAGGTATATCCTCGTAGTATTCCGTTTATGCCGTCTTCTTCGGGGGCACTCCACGTAACCATTAACTCAGAGGTACTAGAGAGATTCAATGCTTTGACGTCTCTTGGTGGTTTGTTTGGGGCTACAAGCAACAAGAAGAGATGAATTGCATTTTAGGGACAAAAATAGAATGACAAAGCAAATTAATGGAGGAGAAGGTTCGAGGTATCTTGCTAGTACAAAAGCAATAAGCTCAGCTCGAAGAGAAAAAGGGAGTGCGAGACAGACGGACAGACGGACAGACGGACAGACGGACAGACGGACAGACGGACAGACGGACAAATACCACGAAAACTTCCTAACTATGAGGTAGATATTTGAAGCTACCAAGTTACCAAAAGCAAGTAGTAAAGGCCTTTTTTTTCGCGGGTATATTGCATTACTGAAGCAAACATGTTTTCCTTTTCCTCTTACTTTGCTTGTTTAAATATCTTTATATCTATTATATCTATTATATCTTCACATCTTTATAACTATCATAAATGGTGACCAATAATCATAAATATCAAGAATTTCGATTACAATTTGCGCGAAATCACGGAACATATACCGCGAAGTTGGGAGGGGGTTGCATTGGGGGCTTAGGCCCCGTCCACACGTATCCGGAAATTTTTGTACCCGCAAATTAATTTTTGCGGATACGAAAATGTTTGCGTCCACACGCAGCGTATCCGAATCGTTTTTACCGTCCACACGTATCCGTTTTCGGAAAATTTCTGGATACGGACACAAAAATTTGCGGACACGTGTGGACGCAACCCGTATCCGCAAAAAAAATTTTGCGGATACAAAAATTTGCGGATACGTGTGGACGGGGCCTAACAGGCCTGAGGACGTCGCAGGCAATTAGAGATGTACTGTTCCAAAAATTAAATAATCGTCGTCGCCGATGAAATGCGTGAGCATCAAACTTGTGAAGGTTTGTTTTAAAAAAATGCTTTCATTTTTTCCTATTTAATATCAGTTTTTACATATATTGTAGATCTCTAAATTATCTTTATTTTACGAAGATTTAAAAAAATGAGGATTCGTGTTTTGGCTTCCCTACGTTATTTTTCACTCACCATCTTCCAGCGTCTGAACAAACCCTTCTGCGGTCTTTCCACAACCCTTCGACGTGAATCCACAAACGACAACTGAATAATTTGTAAATATTTCTAAATTCTCTACCAACGAATAAATATCGGTTGAGCCGTGTAGTTGAAATTTTTTCCCCCCCGACTTTAGGTCAGTAACTGCGGTGACTGTGACGTTGTACCCTAGTAGGATCCCATTGATAAGCGCTGGATTAATATGGTCCCATTCAGCAGCTATTTTTGTGGAACTGAGCGCTGTGAGACGTAAATCCAAAGGAGAATCAGAAGGAACTGAAAAGGTAAACCAACATATACAAAGTAGCTTAGCTTAGTGTAACCCACTTGGACCTATTGAGCAGATATATTCATGGCTATTGAACTGAGCGCTGTGAGACGTAATTCCGAAGGAAAAGCAGAAGGAACTGAAAAGGTAAACAAACATATACAAGGTAGCTTAGCTTAGCGTAACCCACTCGGACGTGCGTGCCGCAAACGGACTCATTATGCAATTTCTTGACTCAACTTTTTCCTAAGCAAAAAATACCAATGAATTCGATTCCAATTTGATCAGATGCATACAAGAGTTCAAAATTCATTCATAATTCGTTGAACCTTACCATCTTCATCAGTTTTAAAATCAATGGGCTCACTGGAAATACCATTGCCATTTTCAGTGAATGCCAGTATCCTTAAGGAGTATTCGGAGTACTTCTTCAACACATCGACAATTGTTTTATTTTTGTCTGACGCCACTGATTTCTGTTGATCTGGTAAATATTCTCCATTTTTTTCTCTATAAAAAATACTGTACCCACTCAAGTTTTGGTTGTTGAGATAGATTGAGGGGACGTGTGTCCATGTCAAGAAAATAGAAGTTGAAGTCTGGTTGTTGATGGTCAGAATTGTTGGGCTTAAACTTGGAACTAAAAAAGCAAAAAAAAAAAAGTTCATAGAGTGCAAACAGTTATGTTCTTGAAAAAATTGTGTAAGAAATYGCACAAATATTCATAAATTAATAAGTTCAGTAGACCTCAATAGACCTTAGACCTACAAAACTTTGCACTAATTTGTACAATTTTGTTAGTTAACTTTTTCACTGATATATGGTATGCACTCTAAGATTTCTATTAAGTCTAAGTTCAGTAGACCTCAGTAGACCGTAGACCTACAAAACTTTGCACTAATTTGTACAATTTTGTTAGTTAACTTTTTCACTGATATATGGTATGCACTCTAAGATTTCTATTAAGTCTAAGTTCAGTAGACCTCAGTAGACCGTAGACCTACAAAACTTTGCACTAATTTGTACAATTTTGTTACGGTAAACGTTTTCACTAGCCTGAGAAAACAGACGTCCTCTGTTTTCTCAGGCTAATTTTTCAAAGACATGGTATACACTCCAACCATTCCCAAAAAAGTCAAAAAACACTCGTAGCCTCCGACACAGATGTCACGTCGTCAAGCAATGTTTCTCTCAAAGGTTGCGTGATGACTCTAATAACGTCCAGAAGGCTTGGGTGCAAAGCTAATGAGCTATAAGCACGCCTCATCCAAAATTATTTTGATTATAAATAGTAGGTCAATTTGGAGGACATAACAATAGGTTTCCAATTCTCATGAGATTGAAATTACTTTTTTTTTTCTTTTGTATTTTTTTTTGGTCATCAAGTTTGAATAACTTACTTGCACCTTTGCAATATTTTTAAATATTAAAATATTTGCACGCCTTACCTTTGGTCGTGTTAAACTTAGGGTACCGCACAGGCATGGTACTCAGAAGTCCAGTGGTCTCCATTTTTTCTTGTAATATCACCAACTGCAGATTATCCATTTTGATAAAGAATATGGTGAAATTGGTAATGATACTTCCTTTGCTAAAAGAAGAAAAATAACTCGAGGTTAAGTGCAGGACCACGTATTCATTCCTTAGAGTATCCTTTCTTTAACGGTTGCAATTAAGGAGACATGTGCACATGAAACCTTAGGGAAAGTTCATTTAATATAACGAGGAAAGGGGGGGAGGGGGGTAATGAAGATTTCTCCCCAAAAATCTTACTTTTTACTATCACCTTGTGCTATTTGTCTCGCGAAAGTGACTCAGGTTGTACAAGACAAAGTTGCAAACRAGAAATCCGTTGCAGCTTGTCTCACCCAGACAAATAGACCTATCCCGAATTCGCTTGACTGGTCACGAAACAATGGTTTCAAGTCGAGGTTGAACTTGATGAATAAAAGAATCAAGTTCAATCTCGACTTCAAACCATTGTTTCGTGGTCAGTCAAGCAAATTCGGGATAGGTCTATTGCAGAATGTAAAATGTAGCTTTCTTTTTGTTTAATCTTTCCGTTACATTTCGCACATGAGCAGCTCCAGCTTTTAAAACTATGGATATCAAATGAGAAATGGACTTTCCCGTTAGCTCACAATTACCTGAAGGATATAACTAGCTAAAAACTAGTGTGAGCTGCGTCGGTGTTTCTAATGAAACAGTAATGATGAAAAGGTAAATTATACACCGTGAAAAGATGAAAMAACTTACTGACGTTTCGGACGCTAGTCCTTCGTCGGAGTATTACCTGAAGGAGTTTATTTCAATGTGCGTTACGTTAATGTCCTGACCTTCGTAGATTTTCTGCAGCTGTAGAATGTACAAAAAGATGGGACATAAACCAAATGATAACAAATGCTGTGCCGTGCCGTGCCGTGCCGTGCCGTGCCGTGCCGTGCCGTGTAATATTGTTTCTCCTTCCCCTGCCAATCCCTTGTATCTTTATGCAAACAGAGAATGAATCTTACATTTTTTAGTATCTTTTCTTTGAGTTTCCGACTTGCTTCGCTGGTCAAGTCGACCAGGTCATTAGTCCAGTTTTCCTTGGTAAAATGCACGTTAACCAGCACCTCAGCAGCTGAAAATAATACATAAAAGACAATATGATACTCAATAATATTTATACTCGACTATTGGTTATACTAATGATATAGGTAGTTAAACTTTAATTTGCGGCGGTAAATCACCTTTAAATTGTCAATCAGTCAATCATTTAATGGAATAGGCTAACAGATTCTCCAGTAAAAGCGCACGTCAAAAATGGCACGTCTCAAGGACAGACTCTGGTCGCTTAAAACAAAAAGCCTCTGACATTCCATCTTTAACTTACGTTTTTGAATTAATGCCTTCCATCTACCATTACGATATCAAAAAAAAAAAACAATATTTACAATACCTGGACAAGTGAAATTGTTACAGGTTCTTGATCTGTTGGTTGGTCCTGCGCATTCTCTCCCTCCATACATTGGAGCTGGTTTTGTACACGATCTTGTACTGTTCTCGTACCCCATACCACACGGTCTGTTACAATAAGACCATTCAGACCACGATGTCCAACCCCCATGAACTACAGGACAAATAAAGAAAACAGGTTGAAAATCTATACATTGATATTCAACAAAATAATACTTATCTAAAACGTGACTTACTAGGACAGTGATGTGTGTGACAATTCTGTGTCTCGTGAGTGTGGCCACTGCAATTGGCTCCTCCATTGGCTGGTGGTGGACTCGTACAAGTACGCGTGCGCCCTTGGGTACCAGTACCACACGATTTAGTGCAATTTGTCCATGGACTCCATTCASTAAAGTTACCATSGATAGGAGTTTCTTAATGTTGTAAAAGTAAAACTGTTAGTCATGTCATTGGCTACGATATATTCACAGACTTACAGGGATACTTACCTGGACAGGGCTGGGTGACACATATTTGAATCTCTGTCGTGTTCCCAGTACAGTTCTTCCCTCCATGGGCTGGTAGTGGGTTGGTACAGTTACGCATGCGCTGTCGTGTACCATTACCACATGTCGCTGTACAATCGGT